GGGGCTTTTGCTTGAAACAAAGTAAAGATCTGCAGATGCTGGAGATCTGAAACAAAGAAAAACAGAAATTGCTTGAGAAACTCGACAGGTCTTGCAGTATCTGTGGAGAGAAAACAGAGTTAACATTTTGAATTCTTCTTAAGAACTGACAGCAGCTTGGGAAAGGTGGTATTTTTGTTGATGAGGGGCATTTAGGGGTAAAGGAGTGAATGGATAGGTGGAGACGGAGCCCAGGGAGAGAAAGAAAAATAATTAGGCAGACAAAACAATTATTGATAGTAAGCCAGGGATGAAGAGAAGCTAGATAGATGATAACGGGGACTATGAGTGTCTAAAAATAGGTTGGCTGTGTTGAAAGCAACCCATTTTATGACAGGACCTGGAGTGTGGGGTTAGGTAATAGATATGGAAGGAGGTGTTCATGCTCTAAAAGTATTGAAATCAATACTGTGTCCTGACGACTAAAATGTCCCCACGTGAAAGCTTGCATTGAACCAAATGACAACACTCCACTGTGTAAACTACAAGAATGGTGATAGGATGCCAGTCTAGAGGGTGCACTCAACACATTAACTGGAAGTTTAATTCAGTTAAGGAAGAGCGTTTGCACAGGGTTCATGTCAAAACAATTACACCTGAATTTGCTTGTGCATTGAGGTGATGTGATTGTATAAAACATTTTCCGTCTGTTGACATTATCCTGAATCCTGATTAAATGTGTGGCTAACTACCAAGGAAATGTTCTGGCTGTATCAACTCAGTTGACAAACCTTTTCCCAATGAGGAGCCAAGTCACTGAGACCAGTAAGATCCCATCTTGCAATTCAGTGTGCACTGGTTTGACAAGAATGAGGGCCAGGAAGAGTGCTAACATAGAACTGTAGGCTGACGAGCTGCACACATTAAAACGTCTTTGATTTGTTCTCAAGTAAATGATTAATTAACTCATTTCAATTTGGGCAGTTATATTCTTACAGAATGAGGGAAACTTCGGGACTTATGGTGATGGTTCGACCATCTGTGCTTGCACCAAGCCCCACAGTAATGTCCATTACTGTGATTAATGTCTAAAAATTTAGATCTTTCAGAATGTTCCCATCAAAGGTTAACAAAAACAATGCAAGAAAAGTGTAATGGTTACAAAGTGATTACTCCAGACAGGTGGTCATCTAGTGTTCAGTTAGCAATACAAAAATACAAAACAGTAATATTGCAATTTAATTCTGGTTACCTCACTTGGAGGAAAATGTCAAAATCCTACAGAGAAGCTGCACTTGAATGGTGCAAGAGCTAAAAGACTCTAGTTTGCAGAAAGCCTAAAGAAGCTACAATTGTTCTCTTTACACCAGAGAAATTCAGGTTTAGCAGAGGTTTTCAAAATTATTTTTAGGAGGTGAAGAGAATTTTTCTTCGACATTGAGTTGTACGATCATTGTTAAGAAATTTGGATACAGAATCTGTACGAGGGGAAATGGATATCCTTTTCAAGGGGAGAAGAATTGCAGGGCGATGGTGAAAATGCTTCTATAACACCAACTTCGCCACTGAAGCAATCTAGCCTCATTCTGCTGTCCTCCTTTTTTGACATTAATCATATTTTTCCCTTGCCAGTGTTTTTTTTTTAATTCTCTGTTAAATGTTACAGTTAACTTGACATTATTGACCATCTGTGTTAAAATGCTGAAACATAGTAGACCAGTGAATTTTTTTTCCTCCACAATCTCTTTAGAGATGTTAGAATATACCTCAGGACTATGTAACCTGGGCTTCCTGGTTCTAGAGCAGGGACACTACCACTGCACCACAAGGACCCAGACCAGTTATTCTTTTGTCTACAATGGGATTGTTCCAAACTCCACCATTAGCTTTAGCAGTGTATGTGGATCACAGAATGGTCACCTCATTTAACAAGTGACAGTGGACAGCTTTGCCATTAGAGGGAGAGCTTGAGCATTTGCTTTTTTAAATGCGTTATGAGCATTTATTCATTTATGCACCTACATGGACACCAGCAACATAACCAAAGTGCCCCTGAATGTAACAAAGTCTCAATTTATGTCTTTACATTGGACATCATCTGTTTTCCATTAATTAGGAATTGCAGACATGGAGCATTTGCTTGTTCCTGGGAGGCTGAACAAATTGGCATTTGTAGCTGGGCCTGGGGGTTTAGAGGCAGGGGTCATGAGGGGTCATATTGTCAGGGATTTCCCAGAGATCTCTACCCCGAGTGTTTCCTTTGCTAAGCAGGACACTCTAAACAGTTTTATAAAATTAGTAGTAGACTGTGAACCTTAGAGGGAGAGTGCAATATATACAAAGTAATAACACTTTGGATATTTTAATTTGTCCAACTTTCAATCTAGGAACATTAGGAACAAGGCCAGGCCATTCAGCCCCTCAAGTTGTCTCCATCATTCATTTCGATCATAGCTGACCTGTATCTTAACTCCATCCACTCTGCTTAACAGAAGGTTACTAATTTCACTTTTGAAATGTTTAGCTGGCTGTCAGTATCAAAGATTTTTCAGAGGAGAAGATTCCAGATTTTCATGTCACTGGGTGCGGTTAAGTGCTTTCTAATATTGCCCTCCCCAACTCTTAAAACCGAAACCCACTCCTGTTACAATTGAATCTCCATTAGTGTGGCCTTACACAGAGCAGGAATTATTCCTTGTGATATTAAAGGCATTGCTGGCCCATTTGTATTAAATTGTTGAATTTCTCAGCTAAAGGAGCTGAGAAAGGCAAGTTTGACTTTGAAAACAAGCACACATTAGATAACATTACAAACATCAATTCTCAGATATTTCTGTTTTGGACAAAGCTGTGAAAACAGTAAAGTGAGGAAGACTTTGACAAATTGGAAGAGATTTATCTAGACTTTAATCAAGCACTTAGTGGAAGTAATTAAAAAGAGCTAAGTGACAGAGGCCAAACCGCACAAAAGTGCTCTCAGTATCAATGTGACAGAAGTGGCAACTTCTCCTTTGCCTTGATTAACCCAACTGCTAATTAGTACAATTATAACGATGCTGCAGAATAATGTAGCTTTCAACGTCAAAGTACGCATTTTAGTAATTAACACTTGGCATGTGTACTTGCTATGCTGGGAGAATCTTAGTTTTGCAAACAAGGCTATTAGTATTCCTAAAATAGCAAGCCGTAAATTATTTTTCTAATGCACTTCATGGAAGTGTTTTCCAAAAGAACGGCAATGAACCATTTAAGCAGGTACAGTGGGCGGCACTGCTGCCTCACAGCACCAGGGACCTGGGTTCGATTCCACCCTCGGGTGACTGTCTGTCTGGAGTTTGCATGTTCTCCCCGTGTCTGCGTGGGTTTCCTCTGGGTGCTCCAGTTTCCTCCCACAGTCCAAAGATGTGCAGGTTAGGTGGATTGGCCATGCTAAATTGCCTGTCGTGTTCAGGGATGTGTAGCTTAAGTGGGTTATAGGGGGATGGGTCTGGGTGGGATGCTCCAAGGGTCAGTGTGAGCTTGTTGGGCCGAAGGGCCTGTTTCCACACTGTAGGGATTCTATGAAGTAACAGTGCAGATGGCTGAATTGCTGTCGAAAGGTAGGTTTTTAAGGAGTGTCTTAAAGTGGGATAGAGAAAGGAAGGAATTCCCGTGCTTAGGACCTAGACCAGGGCTTTCCAAAGCAGGGTTCAGGACACCACGGGAGGTTATGAGTACCCAGAATGCAATGGCTGCCACAGAGATCTGATCGAGCCACAACAGCTGTGCTTCAGCCTTAACAGATATCTGCTCTCCAGGACTCCAAACATCCCAATTCCTACAGATCTCTGCCCAAACCCTCCATCTCTGCCACTGTCCATCCTCACAGGCCTGTCTCCACACATGCACACAGCCTCCACCCTGGCCTCACTCAGGCCATAACAATTCTCAAAACTTGAAACACAGCTCATGATGAGAAGAAGCCTGGGAAGCACTGACTAGACAACCTAGTCCCACAGGGATGCACATGGGCCCAGGAGTGGAAGGAATGCCAATATTTCAATAGTTGAGAAGCAGAAGGAAGCTACAAAGGTGTGGATTCATATCACTTTCTGATCAACCTACGTTAGAATACAAGGTGTATGTTTAAAGCAGAAGTTTTAAATGATGAAAGTGAAGTGGAAAGGTTTATGGAGGGATTTCTAGAGCTTTAGGGCCTTAAGAGCTGAAGACATGGCCATCAACAGTGGCACAATTAAAACTGAGGACATTCAATAAGGAAAGTCAGGTGGCTGGTTGTTAGGCTCCAGGAGGCCATGGCTTGGAAAGCAAGGGTGTGAATTTTAAAATACGACTTGCTTAATTGAGAACTAATGAAGTTCTTTGTACTGAGCAGTGGTGAATACACAGAAGCTAGTATGATTTGGGTTATGGACAGAATCTTGAATAATTATGTAGGAGCTGAGAGATCATGTTGTGGCTGTGCAGGACATTGGTTCAGACATTTTTGGAATACTGCATGCAATTCTGCTTTCCCTGCTATAGGAAAGATGTTGTGATACTTGAAAGGTTGCAGAAAGGATTTACAAGGATGTTGCCAGGGTTGGCGTGTTTGAGCTATAGGGAGAGGCTGAATAAGCTGGGGCTATTTTCCCTGGAGTGTCAGAGGCTGAGGGATGACCTTATAGTGCTTTATAAAATCATGAGGGGCATGGACAGGGTGAACAATCAAGGTCTTTTCCCCAGGGTAGGGGAGTCCAAAACTAGAGGGCATAGGTTGAATACCAGAGGGGAAAGATTTAAAAGGGAGCTATGGGTCAACGTTTTCACCCAGAGGGTGGTGCGTGTATGGAATGAGCTGCCAGAGGAGGTGGTGGAGGCTGGTACAATTGCAACATTTAAAAGGCATCTGGATGGGTACATGAATAGGAAGGGTTTAGGGGGATATGGGCCAATATTACTTTTATTGCCATTAGTTCAGGATGGCATTTCCTAACCATAACCTAACAATAACCCTGTCATTTTTTTTTATTCAATCGCAGGATGTGTGCATTACTGGCTAAGCCAGCATTCATTGTCCATCCCTAATTGCCCAGAGGGCAGTTGAGAGTCAGTCATGTTGCTGTGGACATAAGTGAGCCAGATGGGCTTTTAATGACAATCGACAAAATGGTTTCATGCTCATCAGAGTTTCTGGATTAATAGTCTAGTGATAACATCATAAGGCCTCAGACTATGCTGATTGCTCCCTTTAGGAGACAAGGTAAGTGAATGAACATCAAATCATTGTTGTGGTACTTTACCAGCAATGTCAATTGCCCAGGAGGGGTCTTCTTGGTGCTGCTACTATTAGTATTTGGGAGAAACTTGTGCTTTAAATTTCTCAACCCAGCATTGCCAGCTCCCACTCTTTGGCATCACCTGCTGCTGCTCCAGATAACAGGCAGTGGTGTGTCCTGGGAATAGTGCATAGTCGATTGTGGACTTAGTGTTTAGTGTCCAAGGGCTTGGAAATTGGACTCAGTGAAGGACACAAAGTCAAGAGGGGAGAGAGAGGCAGAGGAATGAAGGAATGAAGGAATGAAGGTCATAAATGACTGATAAATGGGACAGGAAATGAGAGGGAGAGAAATGTGAATGGATGTCAATGAGAGATGGAAACAGGAAGTTCTCAGGGAGAGAGGAAAACAGAAAGTCTCCGGGAGATAGAGAAATAGGAATGTACTTAGGGAGGGAGGGAATCAAGAATGCATGTTTGGGAATAGTGATAGATATAATCTGGGGACAGAATGTTAGGTGAATGTGTGACTGGTGGGAACAGAGAGGGAAATTGTGGGTAAGGTTTTTTTTATTCTTTCATGGGAATTCACCAAACATCAACCCTTCTTGTAAGTCTTCAAGAAAAGCTCAAATAGAAATTGGGTTCCACAATACAGAACAATATCATCTAAAACATTTTGCATCAAACTTGTCCTTAGAAAGGCTAGCATTTGTTGTTCATTCTCAATTCTTCTAATTTGCCAATGGTGGCGAGCACTATCTTCAACCACTGCCATCCAATTGGAGTAGGCTCTGCTGTTAGGGAGGGAATTCCAGGAATTTTACGCAGCAAGAGTGAAGGAATGGCAATATATTTCCAAGTCAGGATGATGCGTAACTTGGAAGGGAACTTGCAGGTGGTGGTGTTCTCAAGCATCTGCTACCTTAGTCTTTCTGGTGGTAAAAGTCATGGGTTTGGAAGATGTTGATGAAGGAGCCTTAGTGAGTTGCTGCTGTGCATCCTGTACATGGTAGACATTATTGCCACTGGGTATCAGGTGTGGAGGGAGTGAATGCTTAAGGGAGTGGATGGGTGTCAATCATGTGAGCTTCTTGGATGCATTCTGGATGTTGTTGAGTTTCTTGAATGTGGTTGGATCCGCACCTGGCTGAGCAAGTGGAGAGGATTCCATTCTACTCCTGACTTGTGCCTTGTAAGTGGTGAAAAAGCACAGAGGAGTTGGGATGAGGGATGTGGGCCACAGAATTCCCAGGCTCTGACTTGCTCTTATGGTCGCAGTGGCTACATATGGCTAGCCCAGTTCAGTTTCTAGTCAATGGTAACCCCCAGGATATTGGTAGTGTAGCATTCAGCGATGTTCGTGGGGGAGATTCTTGAATTCCCTCATGTTGAAGATTATGCTGAAATGGGTTGGAGAGAGAGGGAGACAGAGGAATATGGGCATGGGGACTGCAAAGGGGAGAGTAACAGGAACAGCAATACGGTGAGTCGGAGAGGTGCTATGAGAGCCATAGCCAGTGAAGGGGCGAGTGATACTTGGAAATATATCTGCAGACAAATAATGAAACATTGTTTCCTATGTTGAGTAAAGGAGATACAATAGCATTTGCAGATGTCACCTGAACAGACATTAGGGAATCAAATGTCACATGGTCAGAAGTGGGTTAGAACGTCATGTGATCAAACTCCCAGGACTGACTTGATTTGGCAACACTACATACATGTAGTTCCAAAGACTGACTTTCATTTTCACATGTGATGAAACTAAAGAGTAACCAAAAGATGGCAGTATGGGCTCATCCAGCATTTGGCAAGTTTAAACAGGCTTATGGAAGTTAAAATCTCTTGGCTTTCCGACAATATATAATTTTTAATAATTCCTTGGCTGTGTTGAGGCACCAGAAGACAACTTTCTCTTTTGGGTATTGTGGGTCAATGTGGTGTAAAGTTTTGATCATATCTCAATTGGCTCAAATGCAAGGGAACTTAGCTCAGTATTCCTGCAGCCTTTATGGCCTTGGTTTCTAATCCATTTTAATTCATTGGGTGCTCATCAGAATTCATATAATGCCAATCAGAAAACTCAGTTAACTCGTGAATGAGGCTAATAAGTCGTAACAGTTTGAAGGCAGCTTTTGCATTGAGAAACCACAGACTCCATTCCAGACAGACCTGTACCATTAAGACCGTTACATGACATCACAACATGCTGTTCTGTTATAAAGTCACCCACATCTCCTTCAGTCAGACTCTCCATGTGACGGAGACAGTGGAGTCTGTCAGGTATGTGTATACAATGCAAAGTAGCATCAGCAAGCACAGAATGTATAACTATGCGTGGTACTGAAGTGTGAAAATAGTTAGTGTTGATAATAAACTTCAAGACATCTGCCTCAACAAGAACTATGAGTCTCTGTTGCATGTATTGGGTGGAATGACTTATAGAAAGCTGTAACATGCATCATGGTGGCAATAAGTGGATACTAAAGCTGGTCATAACTGCTCATCAGAGGCAGTAAGTGGGCACATAATGGTGAAAAGGTGACAGCAGCATGGCAATGTGAGAAACCTTTATCTTGTTATGAAGATGATTTATATTTAATGTTGCTTGGAGGACTTAAAAAGATTATGGTAAAGGGAATTTATTTCAAGTTTTGTGGACATATTTGGTGTGGTTTCCTTTAAAGAGATCATTGAACATTCACTGTGGACATTGGAGATTTTTTAAACAAGGCTTCCACTAAATCTCATATATAACTGGTGATGTCTGATTGCTTTGCGATAGGCCCTGGTGGGGCTGTCTTTACCCAGGCCAGTTTAATGCTAGTGGCAATTTCAAAAGTGCTGCAGTGTTAGATCCTAAAAATGATATCCAACCAAGCATCAACCCTTCCCATAAGCATTCAAGAAAAACTCAAACAGAAATTAGATTCCACTGTACAGATCCACATCATCCAAAAGGTTTTGAGAACACCACCACCTGCAAGTTCCCTCCAAGCCACTAGCCATCCTGACTTGGAAATGTATCACCGTTCCTCGAATATCTCTATGTCTAAAAACTTGGAATTCCCTCCCTAATGGCACTGTGGGTCCACCTACAGCATGTGGACTGCAGCAGTTCAAGAAGGCAACCCACCACCACCTTCTCAAGAGCAACTAGGGCTGGATAATAAATGCTGGCCCAGCCAGTAACACCCACATATCACAAGAGCATAAAAAAGCATACTGATTGGTGCAACATTTGTTTTAAAAACAGGTGGCACTTACCAACAGGTGGCTTAAATCCAAGGCACCCAAATAATGCATTTAAAAAGGATGTCTGTAACAGCTATGAGCCCTTGAAAAGCTTAATCTCAAATTCTCAGTCACTAAGAATTTTTCCAGGCTCAATGTCAAGAATGGATATTGCTCCATATACCTTTCCCCTGAGTCACAGGAACTGACAACTTTGAGTACACCTTGCAGTAGATGCAGTTTCCTCAGATGTGTTGCCATTTGGATTATCAATCAGCCAGGGCATTTTCCAACAACACACGGATGGTATAACTGAGAATCTACAGGTTGTCTCTCTTCACAGATGAAATCATATTTCGTAGGCGAACTAAACAAAAGCATGACACAAACCTCCATCAGTTCATGACAGCAGCAGAAAAATAAGGTCTTGTTTTCAACAACAAAAATGTCAAATCAATATGAGCCAAATCAGCTTCCTTAGTTCTAGATACTCATCAACCAGTATTAGATCTGATCTGAACAAAATAGAAGACATGAAGAAGATGCCTACACTGCAATACAAAGATGATTTATGAGGGCAGAAATTGCTGGAGAAACTCAGCAGGTCCAGCAGCATCTGTGGATAGAAAACAGAGTTAATGCTTTGGCTCCAATGACCCTTCTTCAGAACCGGTTCTGCTGCCAGACCTGCTGAGATTCTCCAGCAATTTCTGTCTTTGCTTCAGGTTTGTCACATCTCAGTTCTTTGTGTTTTATGATTTACAGGAGCTTCTTGGATGTTTCAAATTTTTATCCTTGCATCTTATAAGCTTTACACCAAAGTATCTTCTCTCTGTGATCTCCTTTGAAAAAAAAACGCACATGATTATGCAAGGAAGATTGCCAGATTATTCTTCAGTCTCTCAAAAATGCTCTACCATGTGGTTAGTATTATCATCCTGCCAAGCTCACTATGTTGGAAATGGATGCACCCCAGAAAAGCCTTGCAGTATATCTGCTACAGGATGACAAGCCTATTGTGTTTGATTCTAAGGTTCTTTCATTAGTTCAGGTTAACTACTCCTACATTGAAAGATGGATTCTTGCACTAGTCTTTGTGATACAATGGATTCATATGATTTGGCAAGCACTTCATTGTTCACACTGACTTCAAGCTATTATATGGAGGTGCCGGTGTTGGACTTGGGTGGACTATGCTAACACCTGAAGAAGGAGAGAGGTTTCGAAAGCTTGTGTTTTCAAATAAACCTGTTGGACTATAGCCTGGTGTTGTGTGATTTCTGACATTACAGACCTTTAAAAATGATCTAATAAAAGCTTCTCCCAGTTTTCCTTCCACGATTACACCATCTAATTGTTGAAATCTAAGATTATGATACGAAAGGCTCCCAGGTTCTCAAAAGACGATCACTGATGTTCAAAGCCAGCTTCCAACATTGCTAAGAACAAAGATATTCTACTGGACTTACAGGTGGACATTATTGAATTTGATCTGGAAGACTATCTTAATATCGATTTAGTTAATTTTGATCAGAGCAGATTCAACGCATTATGCAGATGATGACCCACTGCAACAGCTCAAAAAGATCATCATTAATGAGTGTCTTGAACGCATCCAAAAGGTCCCAAGATGGTATATTCATTCTGAATCATTCAGAGATGAAGTAGGACTCTCCAGGAATGTCATCTCCAAAGGTAAAGAGGTCATAATTCTGCAAGCTCTACAACAAGCAAGATAGTCTCTGTACATATAAGTCACATGGATGCAATAAAAACCAAGAGATTGCCATGTGAATCCATCTATTGACCCAGCATTAGTAAGGAGTATAATCACCAAATTATTATGCGAAATAGGTCAATTGCATCAACTCCAACAGTTAAGAGAACCTCTCCTTCCACATGAGATTCATTCTGAGCAGTGATGTAAGATTACAACTGATGTTTTCCATTTTCTAGTAACTGAATATTTCACCAACTTTCCACTCATGTATCAAATCAAAGATACCACGAGTGCAACAGTTGTTGACATATTGATTGTTATATTCAGTATGTTTGGTATACCTCAACAAAACGTGTCTGACAATGCTCTGCAATTCACTAGTGTATCCTTCAAAGATGTGCAGGAAGTGGGATCTTTGACAGTTCTCAAACTTCTCCAAGGTTAAACGGACTTGCAGAATTCACTGCTTCTACTGTAGATTCCATGATCATTAAATATAATGTGGCTTGCCAAAATATTTGGATTGCAATGTTAATTCTGTGTGCCATTTATATAGGCAATAGTTTACCTTCATGTTTGGAAGACAGACCCACATAGTTCTGCCCTCCCATGCTCTCACCACCAAATCACATGCGCATGAAGGTCTCTTGAAAAGAAGGGAAAAATGGTACATGATCAGAAAGCATGTGGATAGTTATTCCTGCTGAACCAGTACAGAGCATTTGTTGGGGTTATCATACGAATACATGGGTTTGTGGAAAGATGCTATGTCCTTGTGTCCAGTCTACATCATATGACATTATAATGATGCACCAAACTTCATGCCATCAATCCCTGAAGATGACAAATCAGATACTGGACAACAACCACATATCTGTGACAAAAAGTGCAGATCCACCCATGATGACAGATAGCACACCACAGAGAAAGCTACACCAACAAGTCATGATAAATGTATATGGTGCAGATCTGGCCATGTTTTATGTACACCAAGGTATTATCTGAACCTATATCTATATTTATATATCTATATTTATAAAGATAATATATCTATATTTATAAAAACCAAAAGAACTGCAGATGCTGTAAATCAGAAACATAAACAGAAATTTCTTGTAAAGCTCAGCAGGTCTGGCAGCATCTGTGGAGAGAAATCAAAGTTAACTGTCAGAGAGAGGAGCACAACTTCTTCAATGTGGGCATGCCTAGAAGGGTTCTGAGGATGCATCACTTGACCTGAAACGTTAAATATGATTTCTCTCCACAAATGCTGCCAGACCTGCTGAGCTTTTCCAGAAATTTCTGTTTTTATATCTATATATATCCTATTACATATTGATCAGAGAAAGAGTTCCCACTTTAAAGAGTTACAGTATAGGTACTAGACTGGACAGGCCTGAACCTTTAAAACAGTTACATGTCACAATGACATGTGAGATTCTGGTATTAAGATACCTACTTCACCATTAATCACCTTTTGAATGTGATAATGTCATTGTAAGTCAGTCAGCTATGTATATGTAATGTGCAGTAACATGAGCAAGCACACAACCCAGAATAAATATGTTAGTCTGTAATATTGAAGCTATATAAATAATTAGTGGTGTTAATAAACTTCAAGACCTCTGTCTCAACAAGAATCCTGGTCTCTGTGTTATCTGTTTTGTGGACCATAAAGAAAACCATAAAGTGCATCACAACCCAAACTTGACAGGAAAGGAAGAGATGATGTTTATTATTCTGGACAAGATTAAACATTGAGTCCAGTGGTAAAATGACAAATTTCAAACAAATACAGCAAGATTTATACTTAATCTGGCAACTGATGTAAATATCAAAGACTTGCATTTGTATCACACCTTTTCTGAACTTAGGACATCCCTAGATGCTTTACAGCCAATTCAGTGATTAAAGTTGAATCACTATTATATAATAAGAAATGTGGTAGCTAATTTGTGCATTGCAAGAACTCACAAATAGTGATGTGATAATGACCAGAACATCTGGTTTGTTTTACTGATCATGGTCTATTGGACAGGAAAAACCAGGGAGAACTTCAGCTCTTCCTTGCAACAGTGTTGGGGCACTTTTTCATCCTTTGAGATGGTAGATGGGCACTCCCTCAGTACCGTGAATTAGCCTGGATTATATGTCCAAACCTCTGTGTGGGGCTTGAACCCATGAGCTATTGATTCAGAGGCAGTGGAGTTACTAGTTGAAGTCATTGGCATTAACTGTAATGTTTAGTTTGGAACAATGACCTGCAATTGTAAAATAGGAAATATGCAGTTCAGACCAGAACATCTTATATTTAATAAGATTTGATTATTAACAACATTAGGAATATCTTGTACAATCTAAACTACTTGAATCACACAAATCAGTGAGCCAAGCTTCACGCAGTAACAAGAAATATGAACTGTGTGGAAGACAGCACAAGTTAAATTGTCATAAAAATTTGCAAGATTGAAAGAAGGGCAAGTAAATTTGAACAATGTTTGTGATGGAATTGAAAGCTAATTAATGTCAAGTGTGATTGGAAGATTAATTAATGATCAGACAGACAGCTCCAATCAAGCGGCTTTTACTGATTATCTCTGAAGAATTTTGAGGAAGGTTTGAAACAATAACAAAGACAATAATTACTAGTTTCATTGGAAGTGGGATTGAATGTTGGGAGATCCCTGTACAAAAAGGGGAAATGCTAAACCGGAAAACTAGAAACAAATTGATTTTGGAAACTGGAGGAATAGCACCTCATATTCTGCCTTGGGACCCTACAACCCAATGGTCTCAATGTGGACTTTACTAGCTTCAAAATCTCCCCACCCCCGACCTCATCGCAAGACCAGCGCCCCCTCTCAGCCCTGCATCCTTGACCTGTCCGTCTTCTCTCCCACCTATCCGCTCCTCCCACCTCACTGACCAACCCCAACCCCAACCCCACTTCCTACCTACATTCACCTGTACTAGCTTCATCCCCGTCTCCTTGACCTGTCCGTCTTCTCTCCAACCTATCCGCTCCACTATCCACCTTCTATCACCGCCTCCCCCTCTCTCTATTTATTTCAGAACCCCCTCCCCTCCACTATTTCTGAAGACGAGTCCAGTCCCGAATCATCAGTTTTCCTGCTCCTCTGATGCTGCCTGGCCTGCTCCAGCTCTACACTTTGTCATCTCAGACTCCAGCATCAGCAGTTCTTACTGTCTCTTTTGATTTTTAGTTTGTTGGATTGTATACATTTGCCTACAGGGTGTGAGGCTTTTCATACTGGGAGCAGCATGGTATATGATGGCACAGATGTTGACGGTACACTTTCATTTGTAAGAAAACAAGGAAAAAGAAGATCTAAATGGTGCAGTTGATATATTTGTAAAGGCGGGAGTGCAGAGAGAAATATCTACATAAAACAGAAGGATTTCAGGTTGTATAAATGAAAACAATGATACCTTTGTGCAAAATATTAATTTTCAGGTGGGGTGTTGCATGTAGTTCTGGGCATGCCATAAAGAATAAAAGCCATAAGAAGCAGGAGCTGGTGCACGCCATTCAGCCCCTCAAGCATGTTCTGCCAGATCGTTCCTACCTCTTAACCCTTAACATCCTTGTAAGATCAAAAATCTGTGTAATTTAGGAAAGGATGCTAAGTGTTGCATTAAAAACCTCCTGCCTGCAATTAGAAATTACAGGCAGGGAGAAAAGCTCATCAAATTAGAATGATTTTTTTGCCAAAATATCAAAGATTAAATGGGGATTTACAAAGAATTCTTTTGCTATTGACAGAGGCACCACTTAACATAACTTTCTTGCTTCATAATATATGCCCTTATAGATAAATCCCAGAATACTGCATGATTTATAAACCTGGTTCTCAACTGTCCTGCCACCTCCAATGACTTAGCATATTGATATCTGAGTTCCCCTGCTCCTGCACCCTTTAGAATTTTACCCTTGTTACCATCAAGTGAAAAGGGGTGAACCAGCTCCTCCCAGTTCTGTCTCCTCAATGGTTGCAATGAAGGATTGAGTTCATTTTAGCATAAGGCTATATTTTGCTACAATTTAAATGTAGTAAACCAGTTTACACTGGAAGCAATAAAGAGCTAATTACAAAGCTTACTTGAGTGAGAGACAGAGCAATTTTATTACCTGCTAACTCCGAGGAAAATTATAAAGATGGAACATTGAGTATGTGGCCTTAATGCAGTCACCTAAGCTTTCACAAACGCACGCACACACACACACACACATACACGCATATAAAGTTAAAAGAGGTTAGTATCGGTATGAAGGAAGAAAATGTAATAAGGTTTAGGCAGCCAACAGAAGCAGATGTTGCACTTATTTTAAAGTTCTCAGCTTCCTTATTCTTCTTCTGTTGTTATTTCTGTGGAAGTCAGACCAGTTTCTTGAGAAAGAAAGAGAAGTAAAGGCAGGAACTTCCCTTTCAGTAATCTCCAGATGCTCTCAGACTTTCCCTTGTAATATTGTTTCCAATATGTATTTCCAAGAAGTTCTTATTTGTCGAGTCTGTGACAGCCCTGATGTCAATGTCTAATACTTTCATTTTGCCAATGTCCTCCTGAGACAGTAATAGGTTTTGGTACTTATCTGAATTGTAGCAAGTCTCTCTATTCATGCTACACACCACCCAAAGAGGGCAGTTATTTTGTTCCATCAACTCCAACTTGAAGTACCTTTGCCATTTTAAATATTTTGCCTTGTCTGAATTGTACTTGCAACTGTTCTAACCAGTTGAAACTTTTAAAAAACTCTTCAAAAATATAGCTGTATTCCCTTAACACACCTTTACTCTCTGCACTATACTTAGAAAAATGAATCACAGCATTTCATAAAAACCGAAAGAACTGCGGATGCTGTGAGTCTGGAACAAAAACAAAGTTGCTGGAAAAGCTCAGCAGGTCTGACAGCATCTGTGAAGGAAAAAACAGAGTTAACGTTTCGGGTCTGGTTCTGAGGAAGCATCACTGGACTCGAAACATTAACTCTGTTTTCTC